TATTGAATGACTTTTGTAGATACAGGTTTTTCGTGTTTCGAAAAACAACGGAGATACTCAGATGCAGATGCTTAGTGAATCATTCTGCGTATGTACAGTTCCTGATTGAAAAAATAGGCTCACCATTGATGTCATCTTTGAGATCAGCAATGACTCAGCGATCGGATTCTTGTCTGGCCGTTTCCTCGTATTAACTTTTTATAACTCAGGTTTAATTTCTTTGCTTAACTCTTGGTCGTAACCGTTTACAGTTTAGAGGCGCCTCTCAGTCGTCGATCGATTTGACACAGGAAAATTGTAAAGTTTGATATTTAATATTGAACTTCTCTAATATATTAATATGCGAAATATTGAAATAAAATAGTTTTGTTCCTTTATTAATATGCGATCTCTCGTCAAGTTAGTCAGAAAATGTCGTCTACTTCTCATCAAAAACTGTTGAGTACTTCCAATGAGACACTTCTGGAGTACAAAGGGTTAACACTACGACGAAGAAATTATTATTAACTTACCTTTTAACCCTTTGAACTCCATAGGTGCCCCTCAGTCGCTATTCGTTTTGGCACAGAGAAATTGTGAAACATACTATTTAATGTTAAGTTTCGTGTGATGCATTAATATGTGAAATATTTAAATAAAACAGTCTCTTTCTTTAATTTATGTACGATTTGTCATGAAGCTAGTTTCAAGAAATGTTGACTATATTTCATCAAAAAGTGTGTTGGGTATTTTTGGTAAAAAACTCTTGGAGTGCAAAGGGTTAATCAGGGACGATACAATGAAATAAAATGGAACTGCGTATGAAAAACAAGTATGACGATTGCATTCAATAATAATAATTTGAGTTCGACGATATGTTGAAAATAGACTAATTAATAATAACTGTCTGTTTAAAAAAATGTCACTGAATCGTTGCCATTGAATTCTTCTAAAAATTAACGAAGTTATGAAACGTTAATACGGATGTATCCGGATGCAATTATTTTTGCATCCTCACACAAGCCTTTACGAAGCACGGCTATGTTTAAAATAACGCAGGGTCTCACTCTTAAGTGTAGCAAAATTATTCATGGAGTGGTATAATCATAAAAAACGTGAGTGATGTACCAGTTATGTTCAAATATAGATTTTCACATAAAGATGCACGGTAAAAAGGAGTAGAAGAAAAGTGTAGAACATTTTAAAGAAAAATTTACATAGTCTTTCTGAAAAATATGAAACTCGTTTCAGAGAAATGCAAAAATAAATGGTACAAAAATGTCCAATTTTCAACAGAGTTCAGCACTTTACGAATACACTAAGATTAACAAAATAATTGATAAATACGTTATTCTTCTTACATTTAATTATCTCAAAAAGCAAACATCACATGGGTTATTAACCCTTTGCATTCGAGAGGCACATTTGTTTAAACACAGCTAAATTATAAACGTTAAAATTCAATATTAAATTTTGTACAAGATATCAACATATGAAATGTGGAAATAAGATAACTCTGATTTATAACCTTAATTTATGCAAGACTTTTCTTTATATTAGTTACAAATAGTATTATCAATATTTCCTCAGAAAATAATGAACATTTATAAGGAAAAATATTGTCTAGTGAAAAGGGTTAAATATCAAGCGTAGTACAAAGGTACACACGATTTTTCATTAAAATCGAAGTTTTACTTAACAAAAGACGGCTTGTATGCAGGATGTACTCCAAAATTCGGTATCCTAAGTTTAACGCTGGAACTACTGAGCTTTTAATATGATCAGTACGTAATTCTTACAAAAATTGTGACGATAGACTTTCTTTGAGTTTTTCATGTATTTGTTGTAGTTATAATAAAAGATTATTGTAAAATAATATGATATTGTTGAAACATTAATGTAATAATGTCTCTTATTTCACAATACAATGTAATACTGTAATAATCTTTCTGGTAACAATGCAACATTATATCAAGTGAAAGCTATTTATTTTTGAAATCATTTCGGATATTTGATACTTTTCAGGTATAAATAATCGCGGAATCAGAAAACTGAAACTCATCATTCTGACGAGAGCGTCGATTCTAGTGGTAAAAGGGTACTTCATTACGAACGTCACAGAATTCATCAACCTTCATCCACTTTCAATTTTCAAAGAAAACATTTTTGCAGTAACACTCTACAGTTAAACTTTTTCTGATTAATTTGTAAAGATACCGTACGTCATTGATCCTGCGACTGTAAATATAAAAAGAGGATATCTATATCTTACTAAAACTATCATTAACCCATACGCATCATCAAGTGATATGAAAAAGAATGCTCTAGTCACCAATTTTTAAAAAGATTTTATTTATGTAGGAAAATTACAACAAATAAGAATAACTTTTATTAATCAGAACTATTAGTTTCATTTCCGATAACACCTTCCATGTTTATTTTCTAGTTATTGGAAATATAACGTCACGCTCAATTCTCTTGTGATACTGACCAACAAAATTGAGCGTATATATACGCTCCAGTGATAGTGACCAGGAAAATTAGACGTTTATATACGGTAATGATGCAAATGAGTCAACTTATTTTTTTCCAAAAATGGATTTGTACCACTGAACAAGTTAACACGTTTTTTCCAAAAATGGACGTTCAAAGTACCACTTTCAAAGAAAGACGGCTGGATTGTTGAAATTGTCTTTTGTCCGGTTTTTCGGTGCAAAATACCCCGGTGTGCGTCGACGCGACGGATTTACGGAATCGGATATCGCGTGTAGGCACTCGACTGCACGGTACTCCAGGACGACGCGAACGGCGCGGCGAGACGATCGAGATTCTTTGAGCTCGGGAATAGGCAACATTCGGCCAGGGTAAATTGTGTCGACGCATCGGAATTAGAGTCACGTACGAGTCCTCGAGGACGTACGAGCACTCGAGAGGAGAAAGGAGGCAGGAATAGACGACAGAGGACGGAGGACGGAGGATGGAGGGTAGACGTGGGCCGACGGAACGCTCGTAGAACAAACATTTTACACCGTTTCGGCGGATCGTGATTTTTAACCGCCTCCGATCGAGCGATCGTTCCATGCTAGATCACGATTGAGAGCAGTGCTGGATAACATTTGGCGAAATAAATATTGCAAACACTATTCGGATATTTTAGGTACTCTTACAGGAAATGCTAGTTTATGTGGGATGCAAGAATTCGGCGAATAAAATATTTCCGTTTGAATGCATGAACTATAAAATGAAATATTTTATTTTAGCCCTTTGTCCTATGATTTTTTTCCAATTGCGGTCAACAGAGGTATTTTATCGTTCATAATTCGTTAGGGAAAGAGAAAAAGTGGACAGTTATGTTATGTGTTCGTTTACTTAGAAGCATTATAATTAATAGTAGAAAAATAGTATTCGATTTTGATTTGGAAGAATGAAGTGACGTTTATATATGTTTAATTCTATTTGAAATCTTTACCACGAATTTGACGTGATATTGTTGAGCAAGGGGTTCGTAATATGAAACATAAAATTGTTTTAATTATTTATTTGTTTATTGTTTTTCTTTGTTATGGGTGTTGTTGTCAATTGAACGTGTTTAATAGGGATTTCTTTGAAAATGAGGTTAGAAACTAAACAAAGTAATGTTATTTTTCGTACACGCTGTATTATTGTAATTTTTGGTTTTATTTTTATATACAGAAAAATTATTTGGTCAGGTGTATTAAAATTTGTAGTATGGTTTGTGTAAAGGAAAATGAGGAAAACATTTATATTCATGGATCTATTAATGTTAATATTTCCAGCGGTAATAATAAAATACCATTTTTAAATATTACTTGATTAACTTACTGTATCAAATAAAATATTCCATTTTCAAAATTATGCGTGGACTTTAAAATAAATGGAGTTATTTATTATTCACTATTTAAGATAATATTTTACTCACCACTGGCGGAGGATAACGTGTTACGATGATTGTAACAGCACGGTTCAGCAGTTTTTATTTGAAATGAATTTCGTTCATAAAGAAAATAACAGATAAGTTGGTTCGCAAATAAAGACGTGCAAAAATAAATTTTAGAATTTTATATTTTGAAATATAAGTTTTTAGGTATTAAATATGCAGTGCATTCGGATGTATGAAGTATGGCAGTTTCGCAAAAATCATTATTATTATATTGATAAAATCAAATAAGTTTTTAAATCTTAAATAAATATCAAGTTTTTGAAACATTTATCTCTTAAATACATTATTATTCGAACAATATGGAATACAATAAAGGAACAAAAGACATAAAAAAATAATTATTAAAATCAGCCATCAACTAAATATTTCTACGCAATTTCAGTTAACAATTAACTAGGGATTTCTTATTATCTTTCAAAACAATGACAATTATAATTAAAAACCAACAATTTCCCTTATATAACACGTAACAAATATTTAAATATCTTTTGAAGTTGCCAGGAAACTTATTAACAAACATTGCAAGGTCTATTTATAAATTTTCCGGTAGACAAAGCATTAATAAAAGCGTTCCGGGTAAATTGAAAACATGGCTGCACAGTGAACCCCCGGCTAATCAACAGTAAACCAACTAATAGACTTGCCAGCCGCATACAATACACGACATTCATATCGAAAACGATAAAAAAACGTCTGCTCCTAATTACGAGACTCGTTCAGCGCGACTGCATTCACCCGATCGTGCTAAATTTTCCAAAATCCGCGGTACTCAGAGCCACCCAATAATCTCAAACTTAATGCACAGCGGAGTCGAAAAAGCATGAAAAAAAGAGCACAGAACGAAGATCAAAAACCGAAACGAAAAAAATTGCTTACAATTATCCGAAAATACGTGGAAACAAAAACACAACGAGCAGCGTTATTCGAATCGAGTCGGTCGGCTCGCACCACTTGCGTGCGTCGGTAGCGCAGCGCCTCAGTTCGCCAGCGCTCGGGAGGTCTCGGTTCTCCCCGCCGGCAAGTAGCCGAAGAGTGGCGCGCGGCGCACGGCGCACGGCGCGTCAGTCACCGACGAGGCTTCGCCGCGCGATTTTCGTTCTCGAGTTGGTCCGGCGACCTTGGGGCTCCAGGCGAGAGTACGCCCGCGATCGCGGCGAACAACGGTTGTCCGTGGATAAACACCGCAACTCGACGAGCGTACGGAACATCAAACTGCCAGAACCGGCGCGCGAAAGTCGACGGCCCGAGGTGGCACGGGTACGAACGCGTGTCAGTGCAAAGTTACGCAGTGGCGTCGCGTCGCTCGGCCCGTTCAGTGATTTGTTTTGACATGTGTGTGTTCTGCCATATTGGATTATCTCATCGTGCCTCAAGGGCTATGCGAGCGCGAGTTTCGCATTAAAGAGGTACGTGTCGCGTCTACTCTACCTCCCTCCCCCGTCCCGCTCCCCACTGCTGGCCACCGACGTCCACGATACGCGTCGCGAACGCTACCGCTAACGAAATCGGTATCCTCGGCGACCGGATCGATGATAACTCGTGCGCGTCATAGTAATTCGGCTCGATCGCAAACCGACCCGATCATTGGCCGCGTTCCGCGGACTATTTCGGGAAACGGCGTATTTCGCATCGGGAAATGGCTGTCGCTTCTCCGTTGTCTGTTCCGGAGCCCTACGACCGTGAAGCGAGTCCTTGTACGCTTGTCTCGATCGGCGCGTCGATTCCCTCGAACGTCGTC